TGGGATCTCATCCAGCCTTCGTTTTCTGCCTACATTATCATCCTGTGCTGAAAAGAACCAAAATGCTCTTTTCATCCAATCATAGGAAGGATGCAATTTCACATTCCTACTCACTCAGAAGAAAATGACCTAAACTCACCAGCAGGAAGTCATGTATATAAAGCAAAACATGTTTCCAAAAGAGATCAAGTAAGACTATAAAACGTAACACTTTTTACAACAAATGAAGGAACCAAAAAAACTACTGCTATCAAAACCAAAGATCATAGTAGCTTCTCCTCTCAATACAAGGTATGATCCTTCAAATTTTATTTTATTATTTTTTTTTCCATTTATTTTTATTAGTTGGAGGCTAATTACTTTACAACATTGCAGTGGTTTTTGTCATACATTGAAATGAATTAGCCATGGATTTACATGTGTTCCCCATCCCGGTCCCCCCCCCGCCCAACTCCCTCTCCACCCGATCCCTCTGGGTCTTCCCAGTGCACCAGGCCCGAGCACTTGTCTCATGCATCCAACCTGGGCTGGTGATGATCCTTCAAATTTTAAATTTCAAGCGAACCCACACACACTACACCACCACCACAAACACTGGTCTTCCACAATAGGGAAGATGTGTTTTGGTTCTGAAAAAAAGTAAGACACAAAGATTCAGCCATCTCAGGCACCACCTACCACCCCATCAATGAGTCAGCCTGGGGACCAGGTGAACGTGGGATGCAGGAGACGGATCTGAGATGCTCCAGTGCAGGGGCATGCGGGCTCTTCCTACCTGGACCTGGCACACAGCTCATAGGGAGGCAGCCCCAAGGGCCACATATGCCCTGTCCTCCCTTCTCCAGCACTGGCTTAGACTTCAGAGCTCCTATCCCACAGGAAACAAGAAGAGCCTTCCCTAGCACACCCAGGATCCCCCAACCTCAGGGTCAGCATCCCTCCACCCAGAAGTTACATCTTGATTCGCTGGTGCTGGGCAGAAGGCTTACATCTCTCACCCATTTTGTAGTTGTTCTCCTACGTTCTATAGTGGATTTTTAACCCCCACAGACATCAAATATCTCAAGACTATTTCTGAGTGAATTTACACAGTTACTGACGACAATGACTTGCAATAAAATGGATAGTATGTTTTGAGATGGGAAAAATGCTCACAGGAGAAGACAAATCACACCCAGGTCAACCAGCACAGCAGAATCAGAGTGCTCATGAGAAACAGGAGGTTCCTGAGGGGGAGAAGGGAGGACGCGCGCTTATCTTCTCCTGGGAGAACACCAAGATCGCAACTCGCTGCTGAACAACCATTGACAGGAGAATGTGGCAACCCACCAAAAAGACACTGCACGACCAAGGACAAAGGAAAAGCCCCAACAAGACGGTAGGAGGGGCACAATGACGTTCAAAATCAAACTTCAGATCCACCAGAGACTCTAGGAGGGCACACACCAAACCTGTGTGCACCAGGACCCAGGGAAAGGAGCAGTGACCCCACAAGAGCTGCGCCAGCCCTGCCTGGGTCTGAGGGCCTTTTGCAGAGGCTCGGGTCAGCAGTGGCCTGCCGCAGGGACGGGCCACGGGCAGCAGCGCTCCTGGGAGGCGCAGCGTGTGGCATGCGTCCTCGTGGAGGAGGTCGCCGTCAGCCCCACCCAAGAGCCCTTGGGTGCGTCCTCCACAAACTGGAGAACAATTATACCCGAGAAGTTCTCGCACTGTTGCAAAAGTTCTAGACCCCACAGCAGACTTCCCAACCTGGGGATCCAGCAAAGGGCCTGAGGACCCCCCGGGAATCTGACTTTGAGGGTCAGTGGGATTCGATTACAAAACTTCCACAGGTCTGCAGAAACAGAAGAGGCAGGACGAAGTCTGGCCCAGCAGCTCCTGGCAGCTCCCTCTTGCTCAGACTTCAACACCCGCCACGTTCTGCAGCCAAGGCGCAAACTGAAAACCACTGAAAAGACGCTGCCTCATGCCCTTCACCCTCACACCAGAGGCCTGCGAGGCTCTGCACGGAGCCCTGGCCGCCGCGCACGAAGGCAAGGCTGCTGAGGAGGCAATTACACACTGCCACCCAGACTGGGGAAAGGATACGTGCTTTCCCCTCCTTCTCCCACATCCTCCGACATCTCCACGGGCCAGCAAAGAGCAGGCGAGGACTGCAGCGAAGCCCAGTGTGTGTCCCCACAAGGGGACCTTTCAGCGCCGGCCCTCCAGCAAGACCTGAAGATGAAGTCAGCCTCTATTCCATAGGCCAAGAAACAAACTGACTTTGTGACCAGCTGGCCGGCCAACCCTGTAAGACCTCAGAGATGGAAAAAGGTTGGTTTCACCCACAGGAGCCTCATTCCTTATGCAGAAAGCCCAGCCAAACCATTTTCAAATAAGTACATTCAGGGGGCAGGCACAGAAACATTTACAAGAGCCTCTGTGAGGGCTGCCCCTTCCCTCCCTCCGCTCTGCACACACATCACTGCTGCCCTCACCTCCCTAAGTATCCCAGCCTGTTTCTATGACAACAGCCTCCTCCTCAAGAATCTATAATGGCTTCCCATTTGCCATGAGACCATAGCCAAATGCCTCACCTGAGCCCTGAAATTCCTGCCCACGTCTCCTCCCTGTCCTTCTGCACATGCCTGTCCTTGTTCTCCCCACAGAGCCGAGTCACTAAGAACTCAGTCAGTCTAGGTTCAAATCCCAACTCCCCCACCTGCAGCTAGAGACCTTGGGCAAGGTATGTAAACGACTCCGAGCCTCGGTTTCTTCATCTGTAGAGCAGGGACAGCGGCAGGACCTATTGCTCAGGTTGAGTACAGTAGTGATGAACTGAAATGATTCAAGTAAAATGCTTAAAATAAAACCTGGCACATGGTATCACCCAACAGATATCAGCAACTGAGATACTCATTTTTATCACATGAGTTCCTCTTTCATGAAGCCTTCTCTAGCAACATTGGTCAGCACCTTCTGTTTCTCCCCACCTCACCCATTTTTTTTTCTTAAAAAAAAACAAAAAACAAAAAACCAAATCTTCTGTTTCCTAAATGCTCTGCAAACAGCCAGAAACCATAAATACTGGCTGGAGTTGTTGGGGACTGTTCCATGAGGTAGGTTACTTGGATGACAATCAAATGTTACAAATTATTATTATTAAACTCACATCCTAAAATATGTCCTGTCATTCCCAAATTAGCTTTACCACCAGTAACATTTCTGATGGGTTTATCTCTAAAGAGACCGTGTATCTGAGATCCAAAGCCTAATCTCCAGAGCCTGAAAGTTTCTTAAGAGTCCCATGGACACGCTGGGTCCCTAAACCAATGTTGGTTCATTTAAAAAGAGAACATTAAGTTACCTGAAAAGCTGAAGTAATCAAAGTTAAGAGTTAAATCTACTCTTTCAAATATTCCTCCTCTCAAACTTCTTGTCACAAACATTCAAGATTAAACCATGGTAAGAGGAAGACAGGAGTGGCAAACACAACTGAGACACAGTAGGACCTGGTGTAGTCGAACAAAGCAGCTTTGGCCCTTGCTCTCCCTGCCGCCAAACTTCACAGCACTTCATGCATCCTCTCATAAGGCACAATTTCTACCTGGTTTTAAGCCTCAGGAGACTTTATACCAGTCTTCTGAGTTACAAGCTTTTTTTCTCTCAACTTTGAAGGCCCCACAGCTCCCAACGCAGGGCCTTATTGAGCAGAGATCTGTTGTTTAAAGCAATCAGAGGAGAATCTAAATTTCACAAATTTTCACATTAGTTCCAATATATTCCAGACCATACAACCCCAGTGATAAGAGCCTTACCCTACAGAAAACTTCCAAGGGCCTACCTTAACTAATGGGTAAGACTGTAACAAGTACTTCTAAGAAAATAGTTTTTCTGAAGCCCTTGAGTACATTTAAAATAGTCTGCACTTGCAGCCTAAAGTTGGAGGGAACAAACACTTCCTTGGGAGCTGCTCCTGATGGCACCATCTCCATGGTTCCAGCAGGACACTGTCTGACCTTGCCACTCTGGGCAAGGGAAGATGGGTCTGGGCTCCTGGAAGATGCAGCGCTAAGTGCTAAGTCTGTGGGGCAAATGGGGTCTGGCTGGTCAGCCTTTTTCTCCCCCATTCCCTCCGAGGAGAGCTGCCCCCAGAGAACACGCCTGCAGCAAACGTGCCCCTGCAAAGGAAGAGTTCCCTGGTTCAGGTGGGGTCCCCAGGTGGGTCAAGTCTGACTCATTTTGGGGATCAGTAGTAGGAAGCACACTTCCTTGCAAATATGAGTCACGCTACCTTATACCAGCTTTTGGAGGGATAAATGTGATGTTTGTATCTACATGCTGACATTGTAGTATTTTTTTGTCAATTTATTCAGAACCTGAGAAGGGAAGGATGGCATTATTTATTGGGCTCCCTCAGAATCCCCAATCCATCCCCCCATCATCAGGCCCATTATGAGGAAATTCCAGAAACAGGTCCTATACATGTCCCTCTCAGCATCATGTACCAGGGATACCTTTGCAGACACTGCCCAGGCAATGACTGGAAGAAAATCCATCCTTCACCCCCTGGAAACACCCACCCTACACGTGACATGTCCAGAAAAGTAAAACCCGCCCTTAGCCCACTCCTCATTTTCTGTGGGATGGTCTAGGCTTTACCACACTGGCCACGTTAAGTGTTTGTATAATAGCTGTGACTGGAGACACCGGCCATCATCCTTAGGACCAGGGAAAAGTACAAAAGTCTACAAGGAAAGACTACACATCTAATCAGGAACAGCCATCAACAAAGCTAAGACATCGGAAGGCATCTGACCTACCACTAAAGATCAAGATGGTGAAAGGTTTGCCCGCTTAGAAAGAAAGTGTTGAAGAGGCGTCAGCAAGGTTCAGGAAGAGCAGGTATAACCCCAAACCACCCTGGGTGGCTGCGCCCCTTGTTCTACACCGAATACTTCCCACACCGCCTCATCAGCCATCGCCGGTGATGGGCCGAGCGGAAGGGGCTGACTTACGTGCTCCCGCATCTCATTGGCCACGGTGTTGGACATCATGACGCAGCAGATGATGACGACCAGGATGAAGTAGAGCGCGTACATGAAGCGGGTACTCCGGGACTGACGGACCTTGGGGCCACAGCAGTAGGAGCAGCCAGCGTTCCCACAGCAGCAGGCCAACTAGGAAAGAACACAGAGCGTCTTCTCAGAGCCTCTCCTTTACAGACCTGCTGAGCCCAGGCCTCCGCAGGTGAGCTACCACCCTTCCGAAGTGTCCTACCCACAGGACACGTGTGAACATCTGAGTGTGTGAACAAAGCTGTCGCCAGGATTGGTCTGACGTTGTCTTTGATAAACACGGTGAGGCTTGGGAGATGTCCAACAGCCAAACAGAAAAGGCACCCTTCACCCGAAGCACTGTGATCACGCAGACAAAAACAACAGGGACGAGCAGAAGGAGCCGAGACCTAGAAGAACCAAGTGAAGTGGGAAGGACGGGAAAACCGAGAAGATGAGCCCAAGAGAGACCCTGTCAAAATCCACAGCCACAGAACGAACTGCATGGCATGGTGGGGACTGGGGCGGGGGCCGGAGGGGGCCGATTACACAAACAGGAATCACAGAAGACAGAGGCACCTATCAGAGATTCAGCTCAAGAGTGCGGCTGGACAGGGCTTTACTGGTCAATGCAACTGGACATGGTTTGACTTGAGAATGTTAAATGAAACAGGGACTAAGTTTTCAGGTTTGGGTCTGGTGTTAATTTTTTTTTTCCTTGAAGAGTTTTTTGTTTTTTTAAGAGTAGTTTTAGGTTTTACAACAAAATTAAGGGGAAAGCATAGAGATGTTCCACATGCTCCCTACTCCCACACATGTATAGTCTCTCCCACTATCAATATCATTGACCAGAATGATACATTTTTAAAAAAATTTTACCAAGGACAAACTTGCACTGGCACCTCATAATCACACCAAGTCCATGGTTTACGTAAGGGTCCATTCTCGGTGTCCTGAATGTAACGGGTTTAGATAAATGTCCAATGATATCTATCCATCATTATAGTATTAGAGTATTTTCACTGCCCTAAAAGGAAATTATTCTTTAGTAAGCACCAGGCAAGAAAACAGTGTTGTTAAAAGATCAAAGTATTCAGCCAGCCTGGATTTGAGACCTGGCTCTGTAACCTATTAGCTATGAGCCCTGAGCAAGTTTCCTTACTTTTCAAGACTCAGACTCCTCATGTATTAGAGTAAGGGTGGTAACAGTACTTAATGTACTGGTGGTCTCTTGGATAACCTAATCAGACATACCTGGTTTTAGGGAGGAATTGCTATTTAGTAGATAGGGAGAAATAAAAAAGAGATTACCATAAACTACAAATAACCACCAAACCTATGTGTTTTAACACTATATATAAAAACCTAACAATGCAATCTTTTGATCATGATTTAGCAGGAAGTTCAGAGCTTTGCTCAGCTTCAAAACAAGCATCAATTAGAAGGCTATACTATAAACATCACTTACGGTAAGAAGAGATCATAGGTGTAAGATGACAATAGGCTGTAATCATTAGGACAGATCTTGGAAACATACACATTCCCCAAATTATTGAATCTACTTAAGGAAATCGTTGTTGTTTAAGCCCTTTGTCATTCTGCACTATTTCATTACTTGAAATTTCTTAATGCACTCTTTCCATCTTACATGCAGTTTTCTAAGCCACTTTCCTCAAGACTCTTTTGGCCTCGTAAGGCTGGGCCACTGCTTTGCAAGATCAGCTACTCTATCGGGCTGAGCTAACAGATGGCACAGTGGAGCCCTAACACCACTGCCTTTGTGGTGTTCTTACAGGCCACCCTCCGCCACAGCTCGCTCAGCCACAGTCTCGGTCTTTGATTTCCCGATCCCTTTCCACTCATGTGCCCCAATTTTTCTTTTCTCTCCCTTGCGGCTCCCTCTTTCCTCCTCCCACTGGCTTAGCTGGCCCCTCTCCCAGCCCTGCCTCCCTCCTCCTCTGCCTTCCAAATTCCTTCCCAACTGCCTCATTCGCTGGTTGCTAACTCTTTACGCTCCATGGTCTTAGATAACCAGTTTTACTGTATTTCAAATTCAAATGTGATCAAATATTTATCCTACATGGAAAAAGAAATATTTAGAAGCAGGTGATACATACCATGATAAAACTTACCCACAGCAGAATCAACCTTTACACTTGCTATCTCCACAGAGGGAAAAATGAACAGATGCAGATATACTGTGAGCCTAATTAATCATTTAAAGACAAACAGTAACAGAGGAATATGATTATGAAAAGTGAAGAGAAAATCATATTGATTTAATCCTATCATTTTTAAGTCATGTATCATTGTATAGACCTAATTTTTTAGTTGGAAAATGGAACTATTTCCTGCCATATCAGTAAACAAATATCTGACAGTCATCAGCAATTGCAGTCTCCAATGTCAGCGAGGAGCTCTATGGAAACTCAGGATGTGAAAACACAAGACACATGCCCCAAATAGCTGAGATATATATCAAAGGATTAATTTCAATGAGACCCAACTCTTGCATCTCCCCATACTTAGCAAAGTGCCAAATTTCTTGGGATAGTAATCTTCTGATATTCAGAATGCCTGCCCTTTGTTGCAAAGCTCCTGTATATCCGAGCTTCCCCTCACCTCCTCAGAGCAGGTTCTCAGAGCTATCTGAAATGCTGTCTCCCAGGCTACAGTCCTCATTTTGCCCCCCAAAGAAAACTTAACTTGCAACTCTCACTTTGTGCATTTTTTTTTAAAAAGTCAACAAAATTCTCATTTTTCACTTTCACTCTATATATGGTATTTATGCGTATATACACGAGTTTCCCTGGTGGCTCAGTGATAAAGAATCCACCTGCAATGCAGGAGATGCGGGTTTGATCCCTGGGTCCCCTAGAGGAGGAAATGGCAACCCACTCCAGTATTCTTGCCTGGGAAATCCTATGGACAGAGCAGCCAGCGGGCTATAGTCCATCGGGTCACAAAAGAGTCAGACATGACTTAGCAACTAAACCACCACCACATACACATACACATATAAACAGATATAGATGTGTGCTCATATATACATACACATGCCGAATATTAGAATCAAATAGCAGAGCTCTACTAGCCTAAAAGTTATTTATCAAAGAAAACTAGGCCAATCATAAACAGTAGAAGTGTACTATGTGTGTGCTAAGTCACTTCAGTCATGTCCGACTCTTCAAGGCCCCACGGACTGTTGTCTGCCGGGCTCCCCTGTCCATGGGATTCTCCATGCAAGAACACTGGAGTGTGTTGTCATGCCTTCCTCCAGGAGATCTTCTTGACCCAGAGAACAAAACCACATCTCTTACGTCTCATTATCTTAAGCTATCATTGATATGGAAGTGGAAATTCAAAACAGCATCCATAAAAGTAACGTTATGTTAGCATCAAGGAAAATCTCACAGCCCTGCTGACTTACCCCTTCTTTCTGGAAGAGTATAATTTATAAAATGGGTTTATCTTTTATTCCCTGACATTTACAGCTTTATTACTCTGGGCATTTGTTGTTCAGTTGCTCAGTCATGTCTGACTCTTTGTGACCTCATAGACTTCAGCATGCCAGGCTTCCTTGTCTTTCACCTTCTCCCAGAGCTTGCTCAAACTCATGTCCATTGAGTCGGTGATGCAGTCCAACCATCTCATCCTCTGTTGTCTCCTTCTCCTCCCGCCTTCAATCTTTCCAGCATCAGGGTCTTTTCCAATGAGTCCATTCTTTGCATCAGGTGGCCAAAGTGTTGTAGCTTCAGCATCAGTCCTTCCAATGAATATTCAGAACTGATTTCCTTTAGAATTGACTGGTTTGATCTCCTTGCAGTCCAAGGGATTCTCAAGAGTCTTCTCCAGCACTGCAGTTCAAAAGCATCAATTCTTTGGTGCTCAGACTTCTTTATGGTCCAACTCTCATATCCAAACATGAGTACTGGAAAAACCATAGCTTTGACTAGACGGACCTTTGTTGGCAAAGTAATGTCTCTGCTTTTTAATACACTGTCTAGGTTTGTCATAGCTTTTCTTTGTTATAGCTCTTCTTTCTTCTTAAGAGCAAGTGTCTTAATTTCATGGCTGCAATCACCATCTGCAGTGATTTTGAAACACAAGAAAATAAAGTCTGTCACTGTTTCCATTGTTTCCCCACCATATTGCCATGAAGTGATGGGACCAGATGCCATGATCTTCATTTTTTGAATGTTGAATTTTAAGCCAGCTTTTTCACTCTCTTTTTTCACCTTCAAGAGGCTCTTTAGTTCCTCTTCACTTTTTGCCTAAGGGTGGTGTAACCTGCAAACCTGTGGTTATAGATATTTCTCCCAGCATTCTTGATTCCAGCTTGTGCTTCACCCAGCTTGGCATTTCGCATGTACTCTGCATATAAGTTAAATAAGCAGGGTGACAATATACAGCCTTGACGTACTCCTTTCCTGATTTGGAATAGGGCTGTTGTTCCATGTCCAGTTCTAACTGTTACTTCTTGACCTGCATACATGGCACACCCCAAACCTACAACTTCAAAACTGGAGAAACTAACTCCTAGCCAGTCTAACTTCTGGGGCTGTCACAAGTTTGGAGACGAATGTCTGTCTTGTTACTCCTGATTCCCAAGGAACTAAACTTTCTACTGAAAAGGTAGAAAAAACAAAGGTAGAATGTGCAACACCAAGAGTGAAACCTAACGTAAACGGTGGACTTTAGATGACAGATCACTGGTTGTAATGAACATACCACCATGGTGGGGGGTGTGAATAATGGAAGAGCTGTGTGTGTAATGAATATACCACTCTGGCAGAGGGAGTGAATAATGGGAGAGCTGTGTCTGTGATGAATGTACCACTCTAGCAGGAGGTGTGAATAGTGGGAGAGCTGTGTGTGTAAGAATGTACCACTCTAGCAGGAGGTGTGAATAGTGGGAGAGCTGTGTGTGTAATGAATGTACCACTCTGGCAGGGGGAGTGAATAGTGGGAGAGCTGTGTGTGTAAGAATGTACCACTCTGGCGGGGGGTGTGAATAGTGGGAGAGCTGTGTGTGTAATGAATGTACCCCTCTGGCGGAGGGTGTGAATAGTGGGAGAGCTGTATGAGTAATGAATCTACCACACTAGCAGGGGGTGTGAATA